TGTTAGGTATAGCCATCATGTACAGTACATCACCAGCACTCAGTTATCTTGTAACTGGGAGTCTGTACCTTCTGACCACCTTCATCCACTCTCCCAGCCCCCACCTCTGGTAACCACAAGTCGGATCTCTTTTTCTACGTTTGTTTTTAGATTCCACATGTGAGATCATATGGTATTTGTCTTACTCTGCCTGACTTACTTCACTTAACATAACGCCCTCAAGGCCCATCCATGTTGTCACAAATGGCAGGATTATGGCTGAATAATATTCCCTCGTGTGTACACACACACACACACACACACACACACACACACACATCTTACAGCTTCTTTATTCATCCAACATTGGGACAAAGATTGTCTTGGCTATTGTAAATAATGCTGCTATGAACACGGGGGTGCATATATCTCTCTGACATTGTGTTTTCATTTCCTTTGGATATGTTCCCAGAAGTGGAATTGCTGGATCACATGGTAATTATAGTTTTTATTTTTTTGAGGAACCTCCATACTGTTCTCCATAGTAGCTGAACCAATTTACAATCCAACCAACAGTGCACAAGGGCCCCCCTTTGTCTGCATCCTCTCCAGCATTTATTAGACCATGGACAATCTTGTCTTTTTTATAGGATAGTCATTCTAACAGGTGTGAGGGGATAGCTCCTTGTGGTTTGATCGGCATTTCTTTAATGATTAGTGATCTTGCGCATCTTTTCATGTGTTGTTGGCCATGTGTTTATCTTCTTTGGAGAAAGGCCTATTCAAGTCCTTGGCCCATTTTAATTAGATTATTACTTTTTTTTGCTATTGAATTGTATGAGTTATTTATGTATTTGGGGTATTTAGTTCTTATCAGATATTTGATTTGCAAGTATTTTTTCCCATTCTATAAGTTGTCCTTTCATTTTGTTGACCATTCCTTTGCTGTGCAGAGCTTTTTAAAAATGTATTTTATTTTTAAAAAATCTTTATCATTGAGATGGTCCCCTTCAATCCCCCCATTGCCCCTCTCCCACCGGGTTCCAGCCCCGCCCCAGGCCTTCACCACTCTATTGTCTGTGTCCATAGGTAATGCATATATGCATATAGATCTTTGGTTAATCTCTTCCCATACCTCCTCACCCTTTCCCTCTGAGACTCGTCAATCTGTTCCATGTTTCCATGCCTCTGATTCTATTTTATTCATCAGTTTATTTTGTTCACTAGATTTCTTACTCGTTTATTTTGATTTTTAGATTCAACTGTTGAGATGTATTGCCATTTTATTCATATTTTTATCTTTTCTTCTTTTTTTTCCTCTTCTTAAAGAATACCCTTCAACATTTGATGTAACACTGGTTTGGTGGTGATGAACTCCTTTAGCTTTTTCTTGTCTGTGAAGCACTTTATCTGACCTTCAATTCCAAATGATAGCTTTGCTGGGTAAAATAATCTTGATGGTAGGTCCATCACTTTAAGTATTTCTTGCCTGAAAAAAGGGCTCCTTTCTGGCCTGAAAAGTTTCTACTGAGAAATCAGCTGACAGTCGTATGGGCGCTCCTTTCTAGGTAACTAACTGCTTTTCTCTTGCTGCTTTTAAGATTCTCTCTTGGGAGCTTTTTAGTTTGCTGCAGTCTATTTCTTATGTTGCTTGCGCTTTAGGTGTCATATTCAAGAATCACTGTCAAGACCCATGTGACAATTTCCTATGTTTTCTTCTGGGAGTTTTATAGTTTCTGGTCTGACATTTAAGTCCTTAATCCATTTCGAATTAATTTTTGAGAGTAGTGTAAGGTAGGGATCTACACTGGATGTTTTTAATAGATTTTAAAACTGAATATATGAATGGGTAAAGGGAGAAATGAGCCTTAGAGAGAACACTGAAAATAAGAGCTCGGTTTGACAAGACAGACTCCTGGCAGACGCCCCAGTGGGTTCAAGTATCAGTCAAGGACAAGCAGAGAGGGTAAATGTGGACCCGGCCTCGGGGCTAGAAGGCAGGGCACTTTGGAGGAAACTGTGGGCAATGGGCCTGCTTCATTTGTTCATTCAACAGATGTTGTGAGCCACCTACTCTGGGGCAGCAGCGAACATGAGTCCCCTTGCCCTCTGGGAGCTGAGATCCAAGGTGTCATGTGTGAGAGTGGCAGTGGCCCCTGGGAGAACCTGGACAGTGCGTCCCCACGGTGGCATCGTCCTGCTAATGTGCTTATACCAGGAACAGGAATTGTGTAGCAACCTTTTACAGGGAACCAACTGTATTAGTCAAGACCATTTCCGTTTTAATAGAAACTCAACTCGAACCAGCTTAAGCCAACTAAAAAGGACATTTTTGGTTTAAGTATTAAATTCTAAAAATACCAGGGGCTAACTGGCTTCTGGCATGACTGGGTCCAAGCGCTCCGAAGATACCATCAGGCCTCCGGGTCTGCTCCATCTCCTGGCTCTGCTTTCTCCTGACTTCACTCTCCTGGCTTCCTTCTCCACCGGCCGCATGGTAGCTCCAGGCTAATGATCTCAGCAAAGAGGAAGCACGTCTCTCCTGATTGTTCCAGAAACTCTAGGGCGCTGTTAGAGGGACCGGTTCAACTTGGGTCTGATGCCCAGGCCTGAGGCAGTGCTTGCAGTCAGTACTGGGATGTGCTGACTGGCCGGGGTCTGGCAGGAGGTGTGGGATAGGGCACAGGGAGGCGGGATGGGGACTGAGAACGAAGGAAGGTGGTGTCCAAAGGAGAGCAGGGCTGTCACTAGGCCGCCTCGCAAGGCCCTACACCTATTATGCTCCAGGCACAACACTAAGTGTCCATGCCGCCTCCCAACAGTCCTATGTGACGAGGCCACTGTGGTCCCATGTACAGATGCAGAGCTGGCTCAGAGAGGCTGAGTACCTGCCAGCGTTTGCATGCCTAGGAAGTGGGGGAGCATGGATGCCTTTGTACCAGACAGAGCAGGTGGGGGGGAGGCCGCAGACTCTGAGCTACAGCAGGAGGTCAGAGACAATGTCACTGACTCGACCTAGTGAATGAAGGGGGAGCGGTAAACGGGAACAATCTGACGCATGAGGCGTCATCCTTGTCCCCTAGCCACTCCCCAAGCCCCACGGCAACAACATCTACCCTCTCGTTCAACGTTTGCTGAAGCAGGTGGTGCAGACCCAGCAGCCAGACTGCTTGGGTTCCCTGGAAAACAGAGCCTTTAGCAAGGGATTAAGTGCTGAGACTTTTAACGTGGAGGTGGAATTCCAGGGCAGCAAGTGAGGGAGAAGAGAGGGGAGGTGGAGAGGGATGGGAAGCAGCGCAAGATGACGTCGAACCATCCTGCCACTGCTTTACAACCAACCACATATGGAAAATGTGCCTCAAAGGGCCCCAGGCTGCGAGGAGGAGTTCTTCCTCCCACCTCGGCTCCTACTGCGCAGAGGTCATCCAAGAACTGACTCCCTCCACTCTCTGGGCAGAGCTCTCCAGCCCCTTTGGCGGCTGTTCAGGAATCAGCCCCCTTATCCTGGGATGTGGTGTGGTGGGGGGAGTGGGGGAGGGCGGGCTCAGCCTCTGGGAAGGCAACTGGTCAGCTTCGGGTGTGGATCTGTGAGGATCCCATGGAGTCTATCAGCCATGGAGACAGAGCAAATAGGAGTGATGGACAGGGGAGCTGAGAGAATCTTAGAGGGACGCAAGATGCATGCTATACAGCCACCTTCTAGCTTGTGCTGTGACTTCTCCGTGCCCCAGTTACCCTCCCAGTGAGGGGGGAGTAACAGTCTGTCGCCTGAGTTGTTGAGAGGATCGGAGGTAATGCATGCAAAGCGGTGAGTAGTGTCTGACCCCTAGGAGGTCAGCTGGACTGGAGGTCTTGATCTTACCTGGGTAGGACTTGGGGTGCCGTCCTGGCTAAGCTGTGTTAGCCTGGACTCTCCATTGCAAGCTGCCTCGGATGAAGGAAAGGATGTATTGGCTCACAAAACCGGAAGGCCTGCAGGTGGGGTCAGCACAGCTGGACCCAGGGGAGACTGAGTCCCAAGGGATGTGGTCCACGGTGAGGTCACGACATGAGCATCGGGAAAACACTGTCCTTGACCTCCAAGGGCTGACCTGAGCAGAGAGAAGACCAAGAAGACCCGGCTGGAGCACCTGGGAAATGAGAGGCTGGACTACATTGGGAATTATCAACTTGGCATCCTCTGGACTTCTGGGATGGATCCATGATTTGTTGGTCCCAAGGGAAAAAAAAAACAAAACAAAAAGATCTTCATTTTTTGGCTGGATCTCAACTCCATGACTTCATCCGAGCTTGCTCACAGTGATTGTCAGCTCAGACACGTAGTTGGTCTTTACAAGTTTAAGAAATACATTTGGGGAAGTGGATTGTGGCTTTATGAATGAAGTCTGTTTAGTAGATGTAATCCTTCAACTGCGGTATCCACACGGGAAAAACAACATCGTTGAGGGGGATGAAAAGGTGAGGACTGTGGCTACAGCTCATCTTGGACACTGGGATTCCAGGAGGCCCTTTATCAGGAACACCCAAACACCATGCGCCATTTCGCAAGCGACGGGGCCCATCAGCTGCGTGACCTTGGACAGGTCATTCTGCCTCTCTGAACCTGCTTCTTCAACTATAAAATGAGACTGGTATCCAGACATAAAAATCAAAACACATACCCACACAACAGACTTGCACATGACTGTTATAACAGTTTTATTCACAATAACCAAAATCTGGAAATAGTCCAAATGGTCATCATCCCATAAATGGATAAACAAACTGTGGTACGTCCATACACTAGAACACTACAGTGGGGCCTTGACTTACGAGTGTCCCGACTAACGAGTTTTTTGAGATACCAGCTGTCTCTCGGCCGATTTTTTGCATTGCGTTGATAGAGTAATTTGAGTTAATGAGCTCCGTCTCAGAATGAATTAAACTCATAAGTCAAGGCCCCACTGTACTTGACAACAAAAAGGAATGAACTATTGGTACACGCAACAACATGAATAAATCTCCAAAACATGTTAACTAAAAGAAGCCAGACACAAAAGAGAACACACTATGTGATATTTATATGGAATTCTAGAAAAGGCAAAATGAACCTTTAGAAGATAGGTGGGTCGGTGGTTCTCTGGAGTTGGGGGAAGGAGGGAACTTGAATGCTGGTGATAGTTACAAGGCTGTAACTGTAACTACTTATGAATTGGACACTTAACATGGATGAAATCTATCGCATGTAAAGTATGCCTCAATGTTGACTTTCTAAAAATGAGAGCAAAGAAAACCATTGCCGTTCTTAGGACCCTTTCTATGCTAGAAACCCAACTCCAGATAGTGTTCGGAGAAAACAGAATTGGCTCATATAATCAGGTTAGTCCAGGGGTGCAGTTGGCTTCAGGTGCGGCTTGATCCAGGGCTTACTGATGTCTGGATAGAATACACTCGCCTTCTCTTTACTCCTTGTTGGCTTTATCCTCAAGCAGAGAACAGGATGGCCACCAGCAGTTCCAAGCTTGGCAACTTCTGTCCACTTGGCAACTCCCACAAAAACCGAATGCCTCTTGCCTCATAGTTGCTGCAAAAGTCCCAAGGGGAAGTCTCAGCGTCCGTCCATCCTGGGACACGTGCCTGCCTCTCAAGCCAGCGGGTGGGACTGGCCCCACCTGAACACCAGGGGTACTTGGTGCGGGAGGGGTGATCCTCTGAAGGAAAAGACAGGTATTGTCAGAAGGGCCATGGATGCTGGCCAGTACCTCTCTCCACATCCCCAGGGCAATGTCATCAACTCTTCCTACCTCCAGGCCCCGCTGCAGTGGCCAGGTCGTCAGGGACAGGCCCCAGACTCATTCGAGGTCCTCGAAGGCTGCTTTTCTGTGATGTCACAGGGCTCTGCCTGTTAGATACAAGAGTCAAGACAGAAATCAAGTGCTAACCTCTTCCCCACCAGAAAGCCCTTCCCGCCTGTGCTGGGCTGTCTGCACCCCGAGGAGGTGGGCGGGTGGGAGGAGCTTTGTAGCAGCTACTCTGGCCCAGGCCCAGAGGGAATGCTTTGGAACTGAGCATCCGGACTTGTAGGTTGAACTTGAGGAGGTACAGGATGCCTCTGTGGGCCAGAATGCAGGGCAAAGGGGTGAGGGGTCTAGCTTATCAATTTAGAACCACCATCCTAACAGGGTCTGGGCAGGAAGGCCAAAGAGAAAGCTGACAAAAGGGGGTCCCTTCAGAGATCAAGGACAATAAGGTACCCCCCCAGCACGCTGACACTCAAACCTCACTTCCTGAGCAGTGAAGTTAAGTGAGCATCTTCTCCATGCCAGACCCCACCCAGAGTTCTTGGGTGAAGGGGAGGGAAAGGGAGCAACAACTTCATATCTATAGTCAGAATATGCCTACAATGTAGCACCTTCCTACGGGCACTATTGTGCCCAATGAGGCAACAGGCTCAAAGAGATGGGGCTTTACCCAGGGCCCCCGCTAAGTGGCTGCCCTGGATCAGACTCCTGGCAAAGGCTTGTCTCCCCTGCCCTCCCCAATTCCAGGAGCTCCAAGCTCGAGGCTCAGCCTGATTGCTCAAGGCTGCTAATTGAGCTGAGATTATTCCCGACCCAGGCGGTGCAGAACTATCTCCCAATCCAGCCCCCAGGGAACACGGGCAAGAGAAGCCCGAGGGGGGCCCACCGCCCTGTTTTCCATCACGGGGCTGGCTGAGCAGGCCTGCCTGGCCATCCGGCTTTCTGGGAAGCAGGTTAAATGGGTGTCGTTGCCAAGAGTGTGCACTCTGCCGCAAAGAGCTGGGCGGGGAGCAGGGCGAGAGCCAGACGGAGGAAGGAGAGAGCCAAGGCCCAGAGAGGGAAGGTGTGGCCAACGCCCGGCCCTCCCGGCCAAAGGAAGCCCGTGGGCCTGGCTCAGAGCCTGGGAAAGTGGTGTTCTGGGCTCCCACCTCCTGTCTCCACCCGCCATGTCAGGCAGGCTGGCCCTCCGGCCTGCAGCCCTGCCTGGGGCACAGCCGACTGCTTCCTGGAGCTGACAATGAGCCTGCCCGTTAGTTCCCTGCACTGGCATCCTGCCCAGCTGACCCTCAGGTCCTCGGAGTCCAGCTCTGTAGGAAAGAGGGGGGCAGGCACAGTAGGCCTATGCACCCCAGCAGGGGTCCTGATCCTTAAGGGCCGCCAGCTTGGAGCAGGGCCCGGATGAGCAAGCCCCACGCAGGCTGTGCTCCTGAGATGCCTCTGTCCAGGCAGCGAGCAGGGAACCAGTGGGCGTCATGCCCCTTGCATGCTCTGAACATGGGGCAGTGCAGCAGGCTGAGTGGGGCGGGCTGCGGGTCCAGGCTGGCCAGTGCACGCAGCACTGGGGAAACTGAGGGACAACCCCCCAGTCTCCCTGTGAGGCAGACACACCCTCCAGGAGATAGTGGCACCCACCCACCCACCTCCAGTATTTCATCATCACAGTAACCTATGGGTCAGTAAGCGTTGATATGCTTGTTATAACTATATAAGCGAAATACAAATAACAATTACTGACAGAGCACTGACCTTGGGAGTCAGGAGCCGCAGACCTCCATCCCACCTCTGCCACATCCTAGCTGTGTGTCCTCGGGCAAGTCTCCTGATCTCCTTGGCCTCCGTCTTTCCTTCTGTAAAATGAGGATCAAAGGACGACTCTGAGCAGCCGAGAAAAGACAGGACGTGAAAGTCTGCCAACTGCAAATGGTCACATCGCCTGATCCGCCTCTGGGGGCACAGCTGGAGCAGCCTCCTCCTGCCTCTAACTTGTGGGCAGAGAGCGGATAGAGCTCTGGCTGCTTCACAGCACCAGCTGAGGGCCATCTGGAAAACAAACCCAGATGCCAACCCCCAACAATTCAGAGCCAAGTGGTCAAGGGGCGGGGCCCGGGACGTGGAGTGTGTGCTTTTTAACACAGTGAGTCTTGGGTGACTAAGGTGGAGAGGCAATGCGACAGCCCACGTTTCTAGCATCCTTCTCAACAACTTCATCCATTTGGAGAGACCCAGTGCTGCTCCAACACCCTCCAACGAGGTGAGGTCTCTGAGCTCCCTGGCTGGAGGCATGCTTCAGCCCATGGTCCATCAGCCCACGTGGCAAAGAGAAAATAGAGACTTTCTGGCTCCCAAGGGCACAGAGCCATCACTCAAATGGGTGGCGAGCCTCGCCCGTTTTAAAAGCCTCAGTCCTGCTAACTGGATGGGGGTGTCCACGCACAGGGGAAATGCTGGAAGGATGTACTTCATTAGCAGACATTATGAGCCTTTTTCATCCTTTAGTATTTTTGAAATGTTCTTCCGTGCAAGGCAGTTCTTTTGTAACGGGGGGAGGGGGAGGGAGGATGGACGGACACAGTATTATTTTTGATGTATTGCCTTTTCAAAAATTAATACAGCGTCTTTTGCAAATGTTTTGGGGTAAAGACTGAGGAGCATGCTTAGGAACAAGGAGTTTTGGGGGAGATGGAAAGGCAGGTCAAAGGGGCCACAGGGACAATTAATTTGACGTTAGCAAATGCTTAGCTGATGAGGATGGAACTCGGTGTATTACCCGTGTCCACTGTAATCTGTGAGCAGCTCATTCCACGAGAGCTACACCTACTGCTTACCAGGGCGGGATAGACACCTCCCACGGCCCCTTGATAACTTTACCTTGGAGCTGCCCCTCCCCTGGGGCAGTAAAATGAGGAGGATCTGGTGCAAATCCAGCTCTTTAGACACTGTCTGGGAGAGCTGGTGTGGAGGCAGGCTCAGACAACCGGGGCCTGGCTGGCCAGGAATGAGGACCATGGCGGTCAAGGTTCCACGTACGGTCCTCTTGAGTGATGAGAGCTTTCAAGTCAGCACCTGGGAGGGAACCTGAGAAATACCTGGAGGGTGACTCGCCCCTGCTGACCGGTAGGTCAACGGGACACGAGATGGGGCTTGTTGCCTGTTCACTGCCTCGTCTGTCCATCCACGGGCAGCCCAGGGCTCAGCCTCAGCTAGACAGGAAGATTCTGCTGCTGTGGGATTTGGTGACTTTTAAAAAAATGTTTTTTATTGATTTTAGAGAGAGAGAGAGGGAGAGGGAGAGAGAGAAAAAAACATTGATGTGAGAGAGAAACACTGATCAGTTGCCTCCAGCATTTCACTCAGCCTCAGCTAGACAGGAAGATTCTGTTGCTGTGGGATTTGGTGACTTTAAAAAAAATGTTTTTTGATTTTAGAGAAACATCAATTAGCTGCTTCCCGTATGCATCCAGACCAGGA